AGCATGGTCTGGCCTGGTCTGGACAATGGACACAAAGAAAACTGAAAGTGTGCATGAGGAGAAGTGTGTGCTGGTAATGTATTTTTTTTCCAATTCGATTGGATGTAAGAGGATGTTGGCAGCTTTGGGAGCTGTGGCGGCTCAAAGCACATGGATGCTTACAGGGGTGTTCACAACATAGGGTCAAAAAGGGTCCAATTCTGCTTGTTTTTGTGTGTGTATTGCAACGAAAGCTCTCAGGGGTCCCCAAAAGGGGCCAAAAAGTAAAAATGGGCGACTGCAGGCAGAGGTTAAATCACACTACCAGGAACCCTTGTTTGGGTTGGTCCACCTTTCTCTTGATTGGGTGGAGGAGAACTTGGCTTGCTCCTGAGGTTCCCTTTCTATCCTCAAGACTTTCAAGGTTATCGGATCAGTGGTGGGATTCAAATGTTTTTACAACTGGTTCTGTGGGCGTGGCTTGGTGGGCCTGGCAGGGGAAGGAAGGATACTGCAAAATCCCCATTCCCTCCCCACCAAACTAACCTGCTTTCCAGCTCCGTTCTCCTGTGTAGGGCAACAAAAGAAGACCCAGCCGATCAGCTGGGACTCAGGAGCAGCCTGGTAGCCATGTAAGGGTGGCTCATAAATATCCCCAGAAAGGTCTGTTGAAACTTCAACAACTGTCACTAAGCAACCGGTCATAAGTCGAGGACTACCTGTACAAATAAGTGTCAGAATGTCACACTAGAGTTTGATTGTAACACCTTGATCTGCTGTTAGGTTTCATTAATTGTCTCCTTTCCTTGGACTGGGATCAAAAAGAGCGGGAAAACTATGGATGTGGAAACATCCCTTGTGCAAGAGGCAAGAAACTCCCGATTGCAAAGATGTCCCTCAAGTCTTAATCCCAGAATAGCTCAAATTGGCAAGGAATACTAAAAATAGCTATATATATGCTTCTTTAAATGTGATCAAAATAGAACGCGAGAGACAAAATGGAATTACACAATTCTAGTATCACCTTCTGGTCACGCAAAGAGACAGCTGAATTTCCTCCCACATATGTAGCTGTTCTTGCTATTATTATTATTATTTTTTCATTGCACAGGAATCCCCCAAAATTATAAAACTCAATGCATTGTATTTAGAAATTAAATTATAATTAAAAGGGGCATATCTACGTTTCCATCTGAGCTGTGCTGAGGGGAGTGGACAGTGGAAGGAAGGGAAGTTGAGGTGAATAGAACTGCAGGCTTATTGATTGTTATTACCAATACATTGAAACTTACGAAAGTGGTATGTGGAATTAAGGAGCTTATAGGTATTTTTTGGCTTACGACAACAATTCGGACCAGAAATTCTGTTGATAAGCAAGGAGATTGTTAAGTGAGTTGTGACTGATTCCGTGACCTTTATTTTGCCATGGTTGTTAAGTGAATCGCTGCAATTGTTCAGTGAATCATGTGGTCATTAAGCAGATCTGGCAGTCTGACATGCAGTCCTATGACCGTGGGGCTGGGTGACTGTCGGAATTTTGAATCTGGGTGCTAAACCCCCCAGTTTCAAACAGTTGTTAAGACTTCAGGGGTCTTCAACCTTCACAAGTTTAAGACTTGTGGACTTCAACTCCCAGAATTCCTCCTCCAGTTATGTTAGCTCAGGAATTCTGGGAGTTGAAGTCCATAAGTCTTAAAGTTGCCAAGTTTGGAGACCCTTGTGTTAAGTTGAAGATTATCTAAGCATTCAAAAGGTTTCCAAGAAACGGATGGATCAGTGAAGTCATATTAAATCCACCTTGCTTTCTGAATTAATCCCCTGGCATCAACACAAAGACAGGGAAAGAATACTCCACATTGCAGGTAGTCCTCAACTTACAACAATACTTGTAGTCACCATTCAAAGTTACAATGGTACTGAAAAAAAGTGACCTATGACCATTTTTCACCCTTGCAGCTTCCCCAAAGTTATATGGTCAAAATTTGAACTTTTTTTTAACTGTTGCAGTTTCCTGGGATCATGCGATCACCTTTTGTGACCTTCTGACAAACTAAGTCAATGGGGAAGCTCGATTCACTTAACAATTGTGTTACTAACTTAACACCTGCAGTGATTCACTTAACATCCATGGCAAGAAAGGTTGTAAAATGGGGCAAAACACAATGCCTCACTAAGCAGCATAAGTGTGGGGTCCAGTTGTGCATTAGCTTTCTCACTTCCAGTTTTCAGCAAGATCTGTCAGTGAGATCCCCTCCACACCTTTTTTGTAAAATCAAGAGATAATTTAGTTATTCCCTCATTGCATGTCTACAGTTGTATACGTCTGATGAATATTACTGTTCTGACCCCAGCTTCGTCAAACTTAATAAAACACAAACTGAATTTAAAAGGAAAACCTTTTTTAATGCGATGCTGGGAATTACTTGCATTCTGAGCCAAAACTCATTATACTCAGTTCCTCCAGATAAAAGCACGCTTTTCGGTGCTGTAGAATGCCTGCCAAGAAACAGAAGTCCAATTAAGGCTTAACATATGTAGGAAGTTAGCACCCACACCTCTCCCAGAAAATTGAAATAACCTAGGAAATATTAAAAGGGCAGAATATTTCCCCTAAAAAGAGTAGAAACTCGAGAGCAGAAACTCACCTCAGAAGTAGAAGCTCACCCCCGCCTTTGTTAATGGGTGGGCCATTAAGGCCTGGGCCAGAATACTTTACATAACAAAGATCTCCAGGTAAAGCTATAGCAGTTGCCAAAAAGCCCTTTTCAGTGCATCATCATCCAGCAAGGCTCAACCAAGCCTGGAACTCAAGACAGCCTACAGAGTTGCCCCTGCTTGGCCTCATGGGAGTCTGACAACCAATCAGAATACAAGCTCCAATTCAAATCCCAACAAAGGTTATAAAACCCAGGCACTCTCAGCATATCAGCCCTTTTTCTTGATCTCTTCCTTCACCTTGAAGCATGTGATCATCCTTCCTTTTCACTTTGGAGCTTCAAGCCATGTGGTCCTCCTGTCCACCATTAAACTTTCCAAACAGCCTCCATGTTTCCAGTGTCTTTTTCCCCACTTGGAACTGAACCCAGAAGGATTTTTCTTCCAACACATAAACCAACCCCAAAACCTAGAAAAAAACGACCAGAGTACAGAGCTTCATGAAGTACTCGGAGATTACTGAACTTGCTTTGCTTCCTGCAAAGCTCTTCGTCATTGAGGACTGACTTTTATCCCTGATGGGAGGGGCAATCACCTCCCAGCCTTACTCCCGAGTCGCCCCTTCTGCTTCAGATGCTCTCGCCTTCTAGCAGCTCTGTGCATACGCGCACTGGGAACAGGGTATCCCCTGTTTTATCCCCTGGGTCCTCTGCTTCGCTGCTGCCAGGCTCTGAAAGCTCTGAAGGATGGGTATAAAGCAGACAGAGCAACTCCACAAAGCATCCATACAAAGTTTTTTTTTATTGGTTCATCAGGCATCCTTATCAACTCACAGTTATGATGAGGTTCTTCCTAATGTCCAGTCCTTTGCATATCTGCATTATGGTGTAGAAAGATAATAAACTCTCATCCCCATGATGATTGAAGCAGCTGCATGGTAATGGATTCAGGCAAGAGTGAGGCAGCCTCCCCCAACCCATCGAAGGTCAATTTAGTGAGCAATCAGGATTCCAGATGTGGTCACATGACATGGACTACATTTCCCAGGATACCTTAACTACATTTACCATGATGCATTCCCTTAAGGGGACAGCTCTCAATTCCTAACTAACTATCCCAAATCCCATTAACTCTAAACTGTCTGGACAGTACAACCCCACTCCCAGATAGTCTTGGCCCCATCCCTGCATCGGATGCAGGATCCTCATCCAAGTCCTCACCAGACTCCCTGACTAGTTCCCTTTCGTCCTCACTGTCCAATACCTCTGCCGTCCGCACTGGCTGCCAGCGAACCACAACAATTAATCTCCTCACTCCCGTGATAAAATATTAAGGAATTTCAGGACAATTCCTCCTTTGTGGTGTAGTATTTTTCTACCC